CCGCCCACCTACTGGCTCCCTGAGCTGCGGTCACAGTGCAGGGGTCCTGGGATGGGGTCCCCCACTGCAGCTTTGATGTTCTTAGCAGGAAGGCGACGGTGTCTGGTGGGGGGGCCATGAGCATTTTCCTGGTGGGGGATGGGGAGGACGTGGAGGGGGCAGAGGAAGAGGGGGAGGCGGGTAAGGGTACTGTCCTCCTGATGTGGGCAACTGTAAGCCTGACACCCCCGTGCTCTCACCCACTGAGCAGGTGGACATGGGATGTGGACAGACCTCTCTGTCCACCATGATTACCCTGGGCCTACTTGGGCCTGGGACCTCAGCGCCCATGGCTGGCCCTCTGGGACTCGACTTACTGTTCTGTCCACCCAGACAGACGGAGGCTCAGGGGTGGTTGGGTGTGGATGGACAGGGGTGGGGACAGACCTTGGGCCTTGTGTGGCTTCCCTCCTCCCTTGAGCCCATGGCCAGTCTGTAAGCCAGTGGCATCAAAGGATAAGGACCTGGCTGTCCCAGGCTCAGTGGGTGGGACCACCCAGCGTGGCCTTGGTGTGACCGGGCCGGCAGCAGCTTGTCAGGGACGGGGGAGGGGTTTGGAGGCCGATGGCTTGTGGTGCATGGACGGAGCACATAGCAGCTCTGGGCAGGGGACCCTTTTGTGACCAGTGCAAGGGGCTCCTTCTCTCTTAGAGCCTGAGCAGTGTCCTGCTGGCCGTGCAGGAGTCAGAGTGTCACAGGAGGGTCCTCACTGGGAATGGGGGGGGGACCAGGACCTGTGGACAGGGCAGGGGGCCCCACGGTCCACAAGGACGGGTCTCCATCTGCACCCATAAATGCAGCCTCTGTTGTCCACTTGGGCCCTGGTATGTGCCCATTAGACCACACATCTGTGTGCCAGGGTGGGGGGGCAGTGGGCAGGGGTCAGTGGGTGATGACCAGACCTGCTTGCCCTGCCCCAGGCCCATCAGGCTGTGGGAAGACATGGTTTTGCCAAGGCCCTGGGCTGAGGGAGCAGCTTCCGTAAGGGAGGGAACAGGGTTCAGTGACTCTGGGGACCAGGCACAGACCTGCCCACCCCACAAGAGGGGCATGGACGGCAAGGTGGGGGCTCTGGTGGACAGGAGGGCTGCTCTACTGAGACTCAGCTCATCCTCCTGACTGACTACTGATGGGGGTGTGAGAGTTCAGCCCCCAGCCACGGAGCGCCTCAGGGATGCAGAGATCAAAGTGGGGTACAGGAAACCCCTGGGGGGCTCTGGGTCCCCTCCCACCATGGGGCCAGTGCTGGCCTCTCAGGACTGGGGGCCACCTGTACCCTTAGAGTGGCTGGGACCCCATCTTTAAGGAGATTGTTGTCCAGGCCAATGCCTCCCTCAAGCATCCACACAGCCCAGTTCACCCTCTTCTCAAACTAAGCCTCTGGAGTGGGGGTGGGGAGCCCCTCATTAAACACCACAGCCCACCCCCTTCCCAGGCCCAGCCTCTGGAGTGGGGGTGGGGATGGGGGAGCCCCTTAAGCAGGTGAAACAACAGCGGCCGGCTGTGGGGTCGGAGGTCGTTGGCCCCTTGTGCCCCTCAGAGGCCGCTGCAGGATGGGGTCGGGAGGGCCAAGGAGCTGTCACTGGCCCAGGCCCTGAGGGCCAGCGGAAACGTCCGCGTTAGCTCTCCACTGCTGGTGCAGCTGCCTGGCTCTGGGGGGGCTCTGCTCCTGGCCACTAGTATCATGTCCCCCACTGCAAGGGGAAAGGATGTCAAATGTGGTCATTACTCCAAGTCCCCATGAGTGATCGGGCAACGGCCTGCAACGGAGGACTCAGCCTCTGCTTAGGTGCCAAAGGTTCCCGAAGTCAGACCAGGCTCTCCGGGGAGGTCTCTACCTCCAGTGACCAAACCTTGGGGCAGGCTCTCTGAATCTCTTCCCCCACTGCCTCAGGTCGCAGGACCTGGCCAGGCCCCTCCCTCAGACCCCTGCCTGCTGGTTACTGTCTCCTGCAAGGTGACCAACATCGTACCAGCACCAGTCCCAGGCTCCAGTTACCAGGGCAGAGGGTCCTAGCAGCTCCCTCCTACTGGCAGCTTGGGGGCTTGGCATGGGCAGGCAATGGACAGGCCAGGCCACTGTGGGGGCAGGAGGGGGACACCAGCAAGGCAGCCTCTTGGGGTCGATGGGCTCCAGAGGGCCAAGTCGGCACCCAGCCAGGCAGTGTGCCAAGCTGCCTTTATGGAGCGGCTGCTGCGTACGGAGGAGCTGATGGGCTTGGGGGTTATGGAGACATCAACCATTGGGATCCACCAGGTTTTCTGTGGGAGGGAGACAGCCTGGAGACCCACAGAGGACCCAGGAGTCTGAATAGACTGGACAGCAGAGGGTTCAGTGAAGGCACTGAAGGGGGCTCAGAGGAACCGTGAAGGCACCCTTCAGGTGGTGCCGTGATGAAAGCATTCATGCTACCAGGAGGCTGGGGCTTTGAACCTGCCAGGTGCAGGAGGATGTGGGAGTTAGCTGCGGAGTGGGGGTGGGGAGCACCAGCTTGGAGGCCTGTGGGTTCTGCCTCTCCTGGCCCTGCAGCTTTGCTGGGGTGGAATCACCCGCAGGGCAGGGGCTGGGTGTGGAGCCTGCGCACCCCGCCTGGGGGCTCAGAGAGCAGGCAGGGTGGGAGGGGAGGAGAGTGTGGCCAGGGCAGCCCGGGGTGGGCACCAGGCCTGACTTCCCGTGGGCGGCACAACCTGTCCCCGTGCCTGGCCTTAGCGCAGTGGGGACAAAGGCCCGTGGACTGGCCTCGCGGGGAGCCACAAAGGCCGCTGGGCCGGGCTGTGGCCGCGTTGCCGGGGCGACGGCCCTCTGCGGAGAGGTCCCCCGGCCATTGTGCGGGCATACAAGGCGTGTCACACACCAGATGGCCATGTGCTGCGCCAGTCAGCCAGCAGCACTGAAGGAATGCAGCGCGGTGGCCGAGGCGCCATCTGTTCGGCCGTGCGGCCGCTGGCCTCCTCCGCACCCTTAATTAGCTAATTCCATAATTGGGTTTTATTTCAGGTAAATTGCATTTCACACCCCAGAGAGCGGCAATGGCCCCTGCTCATCCTGTCCAGAAGTGCGAGGCCGTGTCCAGGCCCCAGAGCGGACAAAGGGTGGACGAGGCCAGGCAGCAGGGCTCCGCCGGGCACCCCACTTTCCAGCCACACTTCCCAAGGTTTCCACAAATATTTACTCAACATGGGAATGAGAGCTGCCTTTCCAGGAATTGTACCCTGGGTAGGGACGGGGCAGCTCCGCCCCCACTGGCCCATCAGGCCAGATGCCAAGTCCTTGGGGGGGTCTGGCCCCAAGGTGTGCCTGCAGGCGAGGGGAGGTTACCCTCGTCAGAGGGGTCCTCAGCCACCTCCCCAACAGGGATCCCCTCCCTCCCACTGCCCAGAACAGGTCTGTACCTTAAAACCTCAGAGGCTCCCCAAATCTCAAAGTCTGGAAATTTTTTTGAGGGGGCTCTGGGCAGATAGTAGGGTGGGGGCAGGAGAAAGACTGAGAAATGATCCAAATGCAATGAGGTGGGTGTGGACATGCAGGGAAGATGAGATATTGACACAGAGAAGACGACACAGACAGAGACACAGAGAGAGAGACGTGTAGAGACGCATACAGACAGGGAGGCAGTGAGACAGACAGGTGTGAGGGACTGAGAGACAGAAGGACATACTGAGATAGGGAGAGTGGGAGGGATACGGGAGATACAGAGAGAAACGGTGAGACAGACACAGACGCAGATGCAGAGATACAGCCAGAGAGATGCAGACACACACCTCGTGAGGAATACACAGCACCACAGGAGAGTGAGAGAGACGTGAAGATACAAGATAGAGGGACATGGAGACAGAGACAAGGAGTGAGAGACAGAAGGCAAAGTCAGACCAGCAGAGAGAGAACACGGAGGATGGGCTCCAGTGAGCAGGGCTGGGGGCTTTTGGGGTGCAATGGCTGAGCTGAGTGTCCCAAAGATGTACCCCACCTCCTGGACCCCAGGCCACCACTGCCACGGAGGTAAACTGGTGATTCTCTTATTTATTAGGAAAATACCTCACAATTAATCAAAACCACAGTGTGAGGCTCGTGAAACCCAGCACCCCAATCACCTGTGGTCACCCTGCTTGCTGTGAAGCTGAGGCCCAGACAGTCCTTCCTTGGGTGAGTTGTATGTTGCCCAGCCTCCTGGGAATGGGCAGAGCTGGGCACTGGTGTCCATGTGTCTGCTTGGCCAGCTGCTCTGAATGGGCAGGGGAGGAATTCACACAGAGGAGGCTTTCTCTTCTCTCTGGAGCAGGTGGGCCCATGGATGGGCGTGTGGATGTGCCGTGTGGATGGCCTTGTGAATGGGTGTGTGGATGGGTCATGTGGGTGGGTGTGTGGATGGGCGTGTGGATGGGTCGTGTGGGTGGGTGTGTGGAAGGGTGTGAATCGGTGTGTAGATGGCCTTGTGGGTGGGTCATGTGGATAGGTCATGTGGCTGCTGTGTGGATGAGCTGTCACTTGGCCAGTAGCACCTTTTCTCCAGGTCAGCATCTTCTGAGATCTGTAGCCCAGGTTGCACACTGAGAGGGGCAGATGCCATCATCACAGACTGCCCCCTCCTCCCTGTGTGCATCTGACCAACCACAGACCCTGCCCAGGTCAGGAAGGGCTTGAGCTGTGTGTGGTGGCTTATTTGTGGCCAACACTGCTTCTCAGCCACACATGGTCCACCAGGTGCCCAACTTGGGGCAGATCAGCCTGACCTCACCTCGTGTACTGGTCTCTGTGTAAGTTCATAGGGACAGAGGCTGGGGTGATGGGCTCAGACATGCTGGGCCCCCGCAGGCAAGGACACACTGCCAAGAGGTGGCCTTGGCCCAGGTTCTGCTGGGCAGTGTGGCCCAGGCTGTCCAGGGGAGGGGACTGTCCTCTTGGGCCTTTTAGGAGGTGGTGACGTCTGCAGATCCCCTCGGAGGCTCCCTCTGGACCCGTATCAGGATCCCTCATCGTCAGCCCTGTGGGGCACGGTCAGCTGCTCGTAGGTGGGCAGAGAGTTGCTGGGCAGGAAGAGCTCGGGACTGAGGCTGCTGCTGACGGGCCGGAGCGCCCGGGCCCCGCCGCCGCCGGAGGTGCCTCCTGACTGCAGGGCAAGCAGCTGCTGCAGCAGCTCTGTGATGAGCACCAGCCTCTGGTCCAGCTGAGTCACCTGCGAACAC